CCGGACAAAGGCTGCTCCATCAAATTTTAAAATAAGCTAATTTTACAAGGCTCTGCCAACCCATTAGCCAATGATGTTTTTTTAATTGAGGAATATTTCAGTTAGCGATGGTCCCGGAGACAGCTCAAGTCGGCCCCAAACACTTTCTGTTTTGTCTGGGGCCCGGGGCACAGCTCACTGCCAGGAATCCAAATGCTAAAATGTCTCTTGGACCACGTTTGGCTGCTCGCGCCGAGCCTGAAGTCGAATCCTGGCCTCGGGTAGAGGGCAGAGTCCCCTCCCTCGGGCCCCACACCGGCTGCGTCCTCTCCTGGGGGCATGTGGCCCAGTGCTGCTGTCCTCCCCACTCCTCCTTGGCCAGCCTCGCCCGCTGGAGGGGCGTCTCTGCAGAGTGGGCCGGGGGAGACCTGGGCCGGGCCCCCTGAGCTCAGGCGAGGGAGACCCCACAGAAGTGCCGGGGGGCTTGTGGCGAGGGTGTTTCTGGGTGAGGAATACACCCGGATGGTCTGTTCACGAGGGGCCCTGGGGCCCCTGCTCAGCTGCTTCCCGAGGATGGGAGGCGGGGGCAGAGCAGCCCAGACCCGAACTGGCCGGTGGGCCAGCCGGAGTGTGCTGTGCTTCCAGAAGGTTCTGTCTTCTGCCAGTGTTTTCCTGGAGTTGTGACTGTTATATATAACGCTGCATTCTTGATCTTGATCTCTTAGTATCGTCATGAAAGGGAGCCCGTTTTGCTGCAGACCGAGCACAACTCGGGAGCTTGCCCGCGTTGCCCGGGTGCCTACCAGACCCCTCACGGTCTCCTCGTGTCAGGTGGAGGCTGTTTCTCCATCTCCATCCAGAACATGCAGGGGGTAGCTTGTGCTCATGGGGTCCTCTGAGAGCTAATTCTGTCCTTCGGAGCCGCGGCCAGTGGTGGGTGCCCGGAGGCCGGCCACCCGCTCCTGGAGGGGTGTTTGGCTTTCGCTTTCGCGCCGACGCCCTGGGTGAGCCGTGGTTCTCACACGGGGGCTCCCAGCCCTGTCTCCCGCCCTCTTTTGAAAGGGGCCACTCATCACTTTCTGACTGGAATGTGACACGCGGCATCACTTCAAGCGGCAGTTCTTTCCCCTCTTCTCTTGGTGAGCTGTTCTGGCATTTTCGGTTAAGAGAGCGTCATCAGGGTGTAGATTGCACTGAAGATCCCGCCCTGGTCCTGGGTGTCACGTGAACCGTTCTGCCGGTTGATCTCTTTCGAAGAAAGCCTTCTGCTTCCTCTGAAACCTGGCCCAGCCTAGTGCCGTCCCGGAGTGTGAAAACAAACAACGGCTCGGGAGCAAGCGGATGTCAGGTTGGTCTCCTGCTGAGTGTGGCCAGGCCCCGCTTTCTGGAGCTCTTCCGAGGTTTGCGTAGTGACAGGCAGACCGCCAGCCTGCTGAGGCGCTCCTGTTTCTTACCTGCTTTCCTGCTTCACGCTGACGCCCTGCGTCTGTGGCGGAAGGACGCCGTCTGAATTCTCTTGCCGGGCGGGTCTGGTCTTTCTTTACCTGCTGGTTTTGCAGTGACAGAGGCCGGGCTTCCTCGGAGGCCTGCGGGCACAGTTGCCGTGTGCTCGTGTCTGCTCCTCTGCGCCCGCGCAACCTCGTGTCGCTGGCGAGAAATGTGAGGCCACCAGGATCTTCCTGCCGGCTGGAGCCCTCGCTTACTCACAAGCCCGCTCCTTCACCGGCACGCTTTGCAGAGACAACTGCAGAGTCAGGAAGGTAGAGTCTATGTGGGTTCCGCGAACACGTGCCTCCCTGTTTCTGAGTCACTAGCAGAAAAGAATAGGGTGCATGAAAACAAACGGGGGAGGAAATGTTTTCACCTGTGGGAAGGTAAAGAGCGTGTCGGGAGCTTGATAGATAGTGAGACGGGAAGCTGAGCCCAGAGGTGCAGGTTGGCCCCCCAGGTACCCCAAGCGGCTGCCTCCGCTGCCCCGTCCACAGCTGGGTCCTCAGGGCTGTGTGTCCCGCTGCTTCTGCGCTGCCCCTGGTGCAAGCGTCTCATGAGGCGTTTCAAAGGCTTTTTACTTGAGCTTCACCAGCTCCGCCTGGAGGAGCCACGTGCTGTGTCACGATGGGGATGCTGAGGCCTGTGTCCGGCGTGGTCTCCTGGTGGCTCTGAGTGGCCAAACCCACGTGTCCACTTCAGACGGTGGTCAGCCCCGCCTCTGCCCACTGCCCCGCCTCTCCCCCTGGCCACCCACTCCCCACAGACCAAACTGCTTGACCCCCAGGTGGCCATCACACACCTCAGCTTGTCTTGTCTGTGGGGTCACCACCGCCTGCTCACTTTCCCTGGCTGGCCCTGTGCCCGTTCTCCACAGGGCGGCAAGCAGCACGGCACCTGCTGGTACCTCACCCTCACCAGGTGCGGCACCTCTGGCCTCTCCTCACCGTGACGGAGGCTGGGAAGGGGGTCCACCCCCAGCTCTGTCCCCAGGAACGGGGGAGAGTGCATCTCCATTGCCAAAAAAGAACACTAGATCGTGGGGAAGAAACAGGAAAGGGCCTCATCCTTCCACCACAGATTAGCTACTGTTCGTGTGGACGCAGGGACAGGTGCGAGCATCATTTCCCAGATCAGGATCGTGCTGCTTTGTGAACATTTCTCACCCAGGACATCCTAGTATTCTTCCAAGGTCCACTGCAGAGGGCGTAACACCCTCGCAGCCTGGCTATTGTGGCCGCGACCTGTTATCCCTTCTTGGAGACAGAGAAACTGAGATTCAGAAACATTCATTCACCCTAGGATCTGTGACCAAGAGGAAACAGAGCTTCAAACCCCGCAGCCGAACCCAAGTCACACTCGCCCACCCACAGCCTAGGAAGGGGGTGTGGCTGCCCCAAGCCCCATAGTCTGAGACCCTCCCTTGCACCATGGCCCCCACTTCACCGGGCTGTGGCTCCTCCTTAGACATCACTGACGCTGTGTTGACCCTGGCTTGTGTGAGCCCAGCGAGTCTGTTACTAGAGGACAGGGTGGTCCTTGACATTTACAAGGAAAAAAAATCCCAGCGTTTCCTTCCCTGTGCCCGGCTCTGGGCTGGTGCCGGCGTGAGGCAGGCTTAATTCGATCGAGCTCATCCTGGGGTCAGCTGACTTCCATTTCTCAGTGCTGAGTAATCGGGGACTTGTCGGGCACGTTCCAACACCAGGTCCCAGGCACCAAGGAAGAGTCCGTTCCTCGGCCTGACCGTCTGGAGGCTGTTGGTGGTTAATTCAGGGACACGGAGTCAAGTGCACGATACTCCAGCATCAGCTGCGATTCCTGCCAGAGTGTAAGCCTGGAGATCACCCCACTTCCCGGGCTCCGGCAAGCCAAGCCGTCGGGCAAGCGGCCAGCTGCGTGCCGATTCCTGGGAGAGGCGGGGTGCGCCGAAGAGCAAGGGCTTTGACAGCTGGACACGTGTGTAACCGCCGCCTGGGTAGGCCCAGCCCGAGTGTCTCCCTAAGCTGAGCCACGGTGGAGAAAGCAGCCCGAAGAGGCCTCCAGCCTCCTGTGAGGAATGTCCCGGCAACCCCCCAGGACCCGGCCTGCCTTCCTCCCCGGGGTCCGGGCGGTCACAGACCTGTCCACGTCCTGCATCCCGCCCAGGCCATCCCCAGCACAGCCAGGGGCCCCTGGGCCCCCCAACCCTGGCTGAGCAGGGCTGTGACTACAAACCTCACGGAAGTGGCCCTGGATTTCATCGTTGGGAGATTTCAGGGGTGCTCGGGAGAGGGGAGTCTGGAGCCCATGAGAAACCCCCACTGCACCTTTGCTTCTTGCAGCCCGTGAGCAACGCAGCCCAGACACGTGGTAGAGGAGCTCAGGGTGGGGCCGCGGCCTCTGGCCACGCACTGATTCTGGCAGCTTGAGGCCACGGCCAGGCCGGGAGCGGCTCATGTGCATAGTCAGCAAAGGGGGTGATAATGAACCTGCGCCTCACCTGCTGGGGTATGTGAGGCTTAGAACGCTGCGCTATCTGAAATAATGCATAATCATGCTGAAGTGCTTATGTGGCCTTTTCAAAAAGTAGTTTTTTTTTAAAAGAGCGTCCCTGAAAAAAACTGTAAAGAGCACATTTCCCCACCGTGAGCGCGTGGGGGCCACTGCGGTTTGGGTTCTTGATCCTCTGCCTCCCGGAGACCCGCCTCCTGCTGCCCCTCGGGTCCTCCAAGGCTCCTCCTGCCAGATTGGAAAGTCGTTTCCTCATCTCATTTCAGGGGAGAAGGGCCCAGGGGAGTCCGGGCTGTGTGTGTTTCCGGTTTCCGATGTTAGCACTTGTGTGTGCGTTGGGGGGTCTCTTGCCTTCCTCGCTGTTCTCCTGTGTTTACTGAGATCTCAAAGCTCAGCCCACATCTGCCGTCAGTAAATTATTACACAATTATTGGAAAAAAAGGAGGGGATGAGCTTCCACGTGACCGAGTCTGCACCCTAGAGAAGTGCCCCCCGGGGGGGACGGTGAATGGGAACCCACAGCGGGTGCAAAAGGCCACCGGGCAGGTGCTGGGTGGGGAGCAGCGCCCCAGGGGCCACCCCCAGAGTCCCCAGAGTGGGCGCCGGTTCGGGAGGTCTTGCCAGAAGCAGGAGGCTTGAGCTGGGATCTGGAGCGCGTGAGGCATGGAGGGGCTAGGAGCCCGCAGGAGGGAGGCAGAACCCCGAGAGCTGGGAGGGGGCGGTCAGAGCAGCGGCCTGGAGGGAGCCGTGCAGGGCACCCACACCCAGGCGGTGGCCTCCCCGCCAGCCTCTGTGCTCCCGTTCCTTCCCCTGCAGCAAGGGGCCCCCTTCCCGGGGTGGGAGGAGACTTTAGGGCCTCCACTTTCTAAAGGGCTATGCATACAAAGCTGGGCCCAACCCGAGGAAACGCAATCAGAATGTTTGCTAAACAAAAGTGAGTGGAGCGTTTGCTCTCGGGGTGTAGGAGTTTCTCTGAGGGCAGTGTTTGGCTGACTATCAGGCGGAGGCTCACTCACTTTGGACGCTGGTTTGTGTTTCAGACTCTTCCCCGAGTGCTGGGCCTGCTCCCCTGCAGATACTCCACGCGGGTGTTTGTTTTTCGCATAAAAGCAGCAGCGCCATGGACCTGGTCGGGCTGCTCAAGTCGCAGTTCCTGTGCCATCTCGTCTTCTGCTACGTGTTCATCGCCTCGGGGCTCATCGTCAACACCATCCAGTTCCTCACGCTCGTGCTGTGGCCCATCAACAAGCAGCTCTTCCGGAGGATCAACTGCCGCCTGTCCTACTGCATCTCCAGCCGTGAGTCCTCCCCGGGGCTCCTGCCGCCTGCGCCTGGGGTGCTCGCGCTGGCCGCACAGCTTCGCGGGGCCGAGCTGCGTTCGTGTTTGCCTTGTTTCTCTTGGTTTGTGTTTCAAGTGTCCACTTTGTCCTCACTCGGAGCAAATTCTTTTTCGAAGGAGTAATGCCAGCAGCGGAACATTCCAGAGCACAGAACGGCGTGCTGTGGGAAGCACACACGTGTCTGCCCGCTTGGCTGGTTTTCCTCTTCGGAAACCGTCCGCGGGGTCCGTTCTCGGGGCTCCTGCCAGGGATCCAGGGCAGGATCACGTGTGCAGGGAATACACCTGCTCTTTCTGCACAGACACACACGTGTGTGCCTGGAGTCCGGACGTGTCTGGGTACTTAACACACTAAATAGCAGTGTAACGTGTTCTCTTTCTTGCTTCTTTAACTTTTTATTTTGAGGTAATTGTGGTAAGTTAGTCTGGGGAGCTGTAGGAAGCAAGACGGAGACCCCGGCCCACCCGTCGGGCCCCCCAGTGCTGACACAATCCACTCACCACATTCAGTTCTCCAGTGTTATCTACACTGTCTGTGTCCCTGTGTGTGTGTCCCTGTGTGTGTGTGTTTGATGACTCTAGACTATCTGAAACATGATTAATTTGACTGGCCTGAATTTCTAACGTGAAGATTAAAAAAAGAGGAAACGGTGTATCGGGATGTGTGGAGATGCGCTTTGGTGCTGACTGACTTTAAGTCTCTACTCTTCTCCCCGAGAGAGAACGTACTACGTCGCTGCCAGGGGGACATGGGCGAGTGGGGTGTTTTAAATCAGGCGTTCTTTCAGAGTAAGCAATTTCAAGATCTCCACTACCTTATGGGATGCTGGTATCTTCAGAAACCCTTTAAATGAGCAATCAAATACGAAGTTGAATCAAAACAATCCCAGTTGCAAACAGTTACCCGCGGGGATCAGCACTGTCCAGCCAGTTGTTCACACCTTAAATGCTCGCTTGTAAGAAAAAGATAAAACGTATTATTTGTGATTCACTGACTTTGCCTGGCCAATGTCTGTGCTCCTCCGAGGTAGTCTGCTGGCTGCTTTACAAAACGATGTCTTAAAAGTGCCCGTAGCTCATGATGCCAGGGCATGGTGGAGAAGGGCAGGCTGTGCCGTGTGTCGGGGCCCTTGGGTGCAGCCTCCCACCCAGATCCAGCAGCGATGCAGCAGGTGTCTTGTCCCTGCGCCCTGGTGCTAGTCTCAGCTCTGCAGACCAGGGACCGCGGGGCAGGGCTGGGCAGAGGCAGGGTGGGTGGCCTGGGGCAGGACTGGCGCCGCCTGGAGAGAGAAGTTTGCACAATCTGAGGCAGTTGCCAAATCGGTGCTTTGTCTGAGACGTACCTTACAATTTTAAGTGTCTTTTCACCTATTTAACAATACGTGTCTTTTGAACAATTTAAACTTAGCTGAACAATTTAAACTTAGCTGAACAATGGGAGTTGAACTTCACCTGCTGCCTTTCTATGGTGCACATGCAGCGGCCAAGATCCCAGCCTCTGTCCATCTGCAGTTTGATGTGCTGATTTGCACTGTCAACCCCAGTCAGAACTTCAAACAGATGGCTAAGAAGTGGGCTCCTCAGCTGGCATTAAGAGGCAGGATTTGAGGTGGGAGGTCCTGAGAGCGCTGTATTTTGCCTTTGGTAGGAGTGAAGATACACACAGGTATGGGGGGGTCACCTCGACGTCCTTCTCAGGCCACTGTGCCCTGCTGCCGTCTAGTGGACATTAAGATGGGTAACAACTTTGCAAAGCAGGGTGGATCTTTCTCCAGCACAAATTGCATTGTTGAGAACAAATTCCAAGTGAAACTCAAGAATGAGCCTTCGGCGATCCCTGCATTTCACGGCGCAGGGGAGGGAGGGCAGCAGGGGAGTGTCATGGAGAGGCTGGCGAGCACAGCATCCTGGTGCCCGGCGCCCAGGTACCCAGGTCCCCCCACGGCGCCCTGTGCCCTCGCCCTAGTGGGAGCTCCCGCAGACGGTGGGCCGAGCAGCCGCCCGGCAGTGCCGTGACCCTCTGGGGAGAGACGGAAAGGCCTCTCTCGCCGCGGGGCCGTCTGGTCCCTGGACAAGGACAGTCGGGCCCAAGGGGAGGCTGATCGTCCTGGGTTTGGTTTGTGGGCGGATCTCACCCAGCCCTTCGCTGGAGTGTCCACTTCTCCATGCCAGTGGGCAGCAGACATGCCCGTCTCTCTCTCTTTTTGCTTCTTCTCTAGAGTTGACTGACTTCCTTCTGCCCGTGTGGCTCACAGTAGTCACAGGCACGGAAGAGACCAGCCTGTGGACAGCTTCGCCAGGGTCATGGCCAGAGGCTGCCGTCCCGGCCTCAGCCGCTGAGCAGCGGCGCGCCCGTCCCCGGGGCCGGCTTCCTGCTCCCCTTTCCTCTAAGTGAAGATGAAAACGGTCCTGGGGCCCAGCTGTGTCTCCTGGCGCCGAGTCCCTCTGGAGCGCAGGGAGCCAGCAGCATTCCCCATTCGCAGCTGATGTTTTGAAGGAAAGGGGCGGCATAGGTTTCCTGGAGGCAGCTCCCGCCCTCACCCGCCCCTGTCTGCTGATGGGATGGCGCCTCCCCTCGAAAGGATGTGTGCTGGGAGCCTGGTGTGTCCCCGGCAAGGCCAGAGCGGCCCGGCCTGTGTGGGGGCGCTCCCTGCACGGGGCACAGGTGGCCGGTGGGAGCACGGGCAGCAGGGCCGCAAGGCCGGCCAGGCCCTCGGAGTAGAGAGCGGCTGTCCCCCGCGGGAGGTCGCTCTGTTTCTGCAGAACTTTCCAGCCGTGGTGAATGACGCGGCAGCGGCTGGTCGGGGGCCAGCTGGACTGTCTCTCCCGGACTTGCAGGCAGGGCCGGCTGGGCCCGGCCGGCGGGGCTGGATGAGGTGGGGCTGGGGGGAGCTGCTGCCCGCTGAAGCGAAGGAAGCCGCGGACCCGGGGCAGCGAGGGGTGGCCGCAGCGAGGCGTGGCCGCGGCGAGGGCCGGACGCTTTTGCTTTCCGTGGCTAATTCTCGGCAATGGGGCCAAGACGGGCCGGTGGGCTTTCTTCCCCTGACGCTGTGGGTACAAAGAAACAGAAGAGGCGAAACTGCTGTGGCAGAACTTTTCAAAGGCTGCAGGTCTTAATATTCCAGAAGGCACCGGGGACACAAAACTAAGCGGGACCCCACCCTTCCCGGCCCCCACCCTGTGCGTGTCCACATCCCGCCTCCTGTGGGTCTGACCCTGCTGCCGAGTGGTCTGTGCCGAGGCGCCGTGTGCTCCGGGGCTGCTGCCGCGCGGGCGCCGTCCTGGGCACGCGGCGGTGAGGAGGGCGTCGGGGTCCGGGGGGCTGGCTGCCAATGCAACAGCTTCCCGCCCCTCTGCCCACGGCTCTGCCAGCTTTGGGCGAGCCACAGAGATGCTGCGTCCAGTGTGGAGCAAAGGGCCCGCCGTGGCGGGGGAGCAGCCAGAATGCGGCGCCGAGGGGGGAAGCGCTTCCTAAACCGAGCGTCGGCGTTAGGCTGGCCCAGACCTTGCGCCATGGAAGGCTGGCGCGGGGCCGGGCGCGGGGCACCTCCTTGTGTTGCCTGTGGGGATGGATGACCTGGAGGGAACCACCCCCTTGTAACAGGTCGGGTGGGCTTGACCAACATTCCCGTATTTTCCTAACAGAGGGTTGGACGGTTTCGGTCCTGCACTGGGCAGGAGTTTCCTTTCCTTTCCACTGCCCCCCACCAGCCTCCCCCTGACCTGAAGCCTCCTGGCCCTTGATCTGGAGAAGGTGGTGGCGCAGGAGGAGAGAAACGCCTCTGTTGCTGCTTGCAGCTCGGCTCACGCCCACCCAGAAGCAGCTGTGGGGGCACCTCCTGCATCTGCGGGCGCTGGGCATGTAGGTGGCACAGGCCGCCGGGGCTGGCTGGAGGCCTGCGGGAGTCCGTCTGGGGTCCTCCCTGTCTGGCTGATGAAGGGCGGGGCTGCTCTTGCTCATGCCAAGCCCGGCTGGTCCTTTACTCTCCTGAGTCCCAGACAGGCCGACTCCTCCCCTTGTCACAAAAGCTGCCACTTCCAGGATTGTCCCCAAAGCCCCCAGTCCTGACCCTGGACATTCATGCCTTTCCCCCTTGCTGTCCATGTGGAACTGGAGAAGCCCTGCCAGGCACCTCTACTGAGGCCCCGCGGCCCCCATGGGGGCACAGTCTCCGGGCAGTCTGCAGGTCCACCCTGTCCTCCCCCGTGGAGCTCACGGGGTGCCCATGGGCACAGCAGCCTCATGTGGGCCCCAAGCAGAAGCAGCTGTGGGGACAGTCAGGTCGAAATGGACTTGGGCCTGTGATACACGGCTCAGGAGCCTGAGGGCCGGTGCAGCTGCCCCAGTGCAGACCCAGCAAGGAGCCCTGTGCCTGGACCGCGGGCACTGCCTCCTCCCCAGCTCCCTGCTGTGTCTGCTGGTGCCATGGCTGTCTCGCAGGTGGGGTGGCCCTGACACCCCCACGCTGGGGCAAGCTGTGCAGCCTCAACTGGAGTCACACCCCCAACTGTGGCCTGGCCACCTCCGACTCCCGAGCTGGCAGGTGGTGCTTCTAGGGACTGGGAGAGCAGCTGCCCCTGCTTCCTTGCTGCCCCCGAGCGGCCTGGTGACGGCGGATCTGTCACTGCACGTGAGGCGTGGCCACAGCCAGCTAGCCCTCGGCAGGTCGTAGGGCTCCGTCACCTGCTAGTCGGGGCCTGTTCCCCGGAGCTTCTGGGGGAAGCAGGGCTTCCTGCCCAGGGAGCTGGCCAGTGCTGGGTTTCTGAAGGTCTCCTGACCACCTCCTCCCAGGCCATCTTCAGCGCCCGACCTGCTGGGCCGCGCCGGCCGTCACTGGCAGGCCCAGCCACCCTGCTTGTCCACGCTCCCTCCTCTCATCAGAGCTTCCGGTTTGCACAAAAAAGCAGCCCAGCCAAGCCACCTGCTCAGCAACACGGCACCCCAGGGCCCCAGCAGAG